TTTCCTTGTTGGGTCTTTTCCTGGTTTGGGGATAAGGCAATGTTTGCTTCATAGAATGGGTTGGGTATCCTACTTTTTCTATATTTTGGAAAAGGTTAAGTAGTATAGGTACTAGTTCCTCTTTAAAGTTTTGGTAGAATTTTGACATGAAGCTATCTGGTCCCAGGCTTTTCTTTTTAGGGAGATTTTTTATAGTTGATGCTATTTCAGAACTTGATATAGGCCTGTTCAACATTTCCACTTGATTCTGGCTATGTCTTGGAAGGTTGGGTGCTTTGAAGTATTGGTTGATTTCCTTCAGACCTTCATATTTCTGAGAATAAAGTTTCTTGTATATCATTAAGGATTTTTTGAATTTCTGAGGGGTCTGTTGTTATTTCATCTTTATCTTTTCTGATTATTAAAATTAGAGATTTTACTCTTTTTTTCTTAGGTTGGCCAAAGGTTTATCTATTTTATTGACCTTTTCAAAAAAACAACTTTTTTATTTATTGACATATTGTATTTCTTTTATTTTCTATTTCATTTAATTCTGCTCTAATTTTGGTTATTTATTTTCTTCTGCTGGGTTTGGGATTGGAGTGTTCTTCCTTTTCCAGTTACTTGCGTTGTCCCTTTAAGTTGTTAACGTCCTCTCTTTCCATTTTCTTGAGGAAAGCTTGCAGTGCTATAAATTTCCCTTTTAGGCCTGCCTTTGCAGTATCCCAGAGGTTCTGGTAACTAGTATCTTCCTTATCATTTTGTTCCAAAAATTTGGTAACTTCCTTCTTGATCTCATCTCTGACCCACCTATCAATCAGCATTAGGTTATTTACCTTTGATATTTTTGTATGAGTCTGTAGATTCCTGTTGTTACTGAGTTCAACTTTTATTCCATGACTGGTCTGAGAAGATTCATGGAATAATTTCTATTCTTTTAAATTTGCTGAGTTTAGACTTGTGACCTAAGATGTGATCAATTTGGGAGTATGTTCTGTGGGCTCATGAGAAAAATGTGTATTCAGTTTTATTAGGATGAAATGTTCTGTAGATGTCCATTAAATCCAAATGCTGAATGGTTAGGTTTAAATCTAAAATTTCTTTACTAAGCTTCTCGTTGGAGGATCTATCCAACACTACCAAAGGAGTATTAAAATCTCCAACTATGATGGAGCTGGGAGAAATCAAGTTGCTCATGCCTATTAGAGAATCTCTTGTAAATTGAGGTGCATTCTGGTTGGGTGCATAAATATCGATAATTGAAATCTCATCATATTGAGTATTACCCTTAACAAATATAAAGTGACCACCTTTATCCTTGCTTACTTTTTTTGGTTTAAAGCCTATTGTATCTGCAAATAAAATTGCAACACCTGCTTTTTTCTGCTTTCCATTGGCTGTAATATACATGATCATCCCTTCACCCTGAGTCTATATTTGTCTTTTAAGGTAAGATGAGATTCTTGTATGCAGCAGATATCTGGCCTGAATTTTTGGTTCCAGTCAGCCAGCCTGTGCCTCTTTAGAGGGCAATTTAAGCCATTCACATTGATTGAGAATATTGATAAGCCTGGTATAATTTTTGGTATTGAGTTTTTCGAAAGTCCAGTGGACATCTTGAATCTTTTCACCACTATGGAAGTTGGAATTTGATCAAAATTTTCTGTGTGAGTTTACTTATGTGGTGGAGGATTGCACTGGTCATTATTGAGGATAGGTCTAAGAATATCCTGGAGGGCTGGTTTAGTTATAGCAAATTTATTCAACATGTGAATGTCATTAAAGTATTTAATTTTTCCATCATAAATGAAACTCAGTTTAGCTGGATACAGCATCCTGGGTTGAAAGTTATTTTGTTTTAGAAGATTAAATATCAATGACCACCCTCTTCTAGCCTGAACGGTTTCGGCAGAGAGATCTGCAGTCATTCTAATATTCTTCCCCTTGTAGGTTATGGTTTTTTTACATCTAGCTACTTTCAGAATTTTCTCTTTCATATTAACTTTAGTGAAGTTAATTGTGATGTGCCTGGGGGATGTCTTGTTCAGGTTGAGTTGTACTAGGATTCTGAAACTGTCTGCTATCTCAATTTCAGAATCTCTTGGCATGTCTGGAAATTTCTCTTTCATAATTTCATGCAGAAGAGCCTCTGTGTTTTGTGAAGCAACTTCATCTCCTTCAGGGATTCCTATAAGGTGAATATTAGTTTTCTTCAAATTATCTCTGAGCTCTCTGAGAGAGTGATCCATTTTTGTTCTCCATTTCTCTTCATCTTTGAGTGCTTGGGTGTATTCAAAAGCTTTGTCTTCAATGTCAGAGTTCCTTTCTTCTGCCTGCTCCATTCTGTTACTGAAGAATTCTAGAGCATTTTTCAGATCATTGAGGGCTCCAATCTTTTGCCTCAGTGTGTCAAAATCTTTGGTTATTTTATCTTTGAAATCGTCGAATTCTTGAGACAGCTTTTGAATAATTTGAAATTCTAATTCCATCCTTTCTTCCATTCTGTTAATCTTATTTGCTATCCAGATTTTGAACTCAATTTCTGACATCTCATCCATCTGTTTATGGATGGGATCTTCAATTGCATCTGCTCTATCCTTCCTTGGGGGAGTTGATCTACTCTGGTCAGTCAGGTTACCAGAGTTTTTCTGTCAATTCCTCCCCATGCTGAATTTGTACCATTTGAAGACCATCCCCAAACCGTTCTGCCAGTGGCTGTCACAGAAGATGCCAGCTTCCTCTGGTTGCCCAGAGACATAGGGAGTGTCTGTTCAGAAAAGCATCAGGGGTGTGAGCCTTATTGTTCTAACTGCTGTGGCTGCTGCTCTTCACCTCAGGGTAGCGCTGCTCCACTGTGGTTCCCTCTTAACTGATCATCCTCTCACAGTTCTCGGCCACTGGACCTGAATTTGCATGTTATCCTTGTGCAGGGGCCATGCTAATCTCTGTATCATTACAATTTTAGTGTATGTGCTGCCGAAGCAAGCACCACTTTATTGATAGTTTGAGCTGTCTGTGTGGCATTGATTCCATGATGGAACTCCTAATCAAAAATAACAGGAATTTTTGAATTATCCACAGTTTTACAAAAATTGCTCTTAATAAAAAAACATTTGAGAGATAATCCAAAACATGCATTTTAAAAAACAAGGATAAACCTTCACAATAAAAAAGAAGTGTCAAAGTAAAATGTCAGAGATATCAACCGTCAAACAGTACATGAGGAAATCAACCATTTCATATTAAATAACCAATGCATTATTAATAACAATAGTTCATACTTATGTAGACACTTTTTTCATTTTTAATTATTGCCCTTTCTCATCCCAGCATCCCATTCAGAATATAGTGTAAATTCAGTTATTCTGTTTCTATAGAGTTTGCTAAACAGTGAAATTTACACAGATTTTTGATGAACTCAATAGTTTTAAGAAGCACTGAAGAGGTAGTCTACAGAATATCCTTTGAGTTTGCCTAGTCATTTTCTGTCAGTGTTATAAAAGAATTGTGAGTTTTGGAAGAAGGGAATCAAGGGGTAAAATGCCATTCTCATCACATGATGTACAAAATATATACTATCAACATCATTTAATCACTATTGATATTAACCTTCATCTGAATGATATCGTTCTTGTCCTGTTTTTGCCCTATGAATTTTGCCTTTTTATTCCATTTGCATACTGTATATTTTGAAAGGAAATGTCTATGTGCACCTCACAAATAAAGGAAACACAATTATGTTCCACATCTTTAAGTAAATTATTTGGAAATCTTTGGTAAAAATTTGCATATTTATCCCATTTTGTTTATTTATTCAATCATTTGTGTGTATTAATATGTACTGACTTGTATTTATAATATACTTTGGTTTATAATTCCATACTATATTCGATGTTTTATTGCTTATATTTTCTTAAATTTTGGACATTACATGTTATTCAAGGTGGAGCCTATATTGCTTTAAAATACTCTCATCATTTTATATTTTCTTACTTCTGGGCATAGCAAGTTGCTCCATGTTCACTTTTGATTTCTCATGCCCCAGCCTTAGAATTAACTACTTCTTCTTGGAAACTTGACTCCATTTTTTGACAATCATATTAGAAGTCAAGAACTGGGCTCTTTTTATTTTAATGGATATTAGCACATTAAACTAGTTAAAAAGTCCATATTACAAAAAAAATATTCCTTGAAAAGTAAATATTTCTCCCGTATTCACATTCTTGCCCTTTTTTCAGATGCAGCTACATTTCTGTTATACTTTAATACTTTCTAAACAAGTAGGCATCTGTCTTAACAACTTCTATATCTATTATTTCTAGTTACATACATGAAGCATAGATGGCACACTTTAATTTTTAAAACGAAATTTTGCAATGTATCTGTACTTTGTTTTCTATTGATATTTTACAAATAATACTATGATAAATATTTCATTAACTCATTAATGTAATTTTAATAAAATGTGGCAAATCCAGATGGTGTTGGGTTTATCTTTGGAAGCTTAATAAACATAAAATTTTGCATATCAAAATTAGTTGTGCAGAATAACATGATGCCTTTGGATGATAACAGCAGGGTCCCGACAAAGCCTTCTTGATCAAATGCTCAAAATGTTATACAGTTGAACACATGTTTTGTGTCCCACTTTTAAGGTAAAACCATAGGAACTGGAAACAAATCACTAGCTGATGGTAGCTGACAGGTGTGGGGAAGTTTTGAAGACAAAGTGTTAAGGGATAAATGGGACAGGGTACATGGAATTTATTGAACTGCTTTATATCTTGATTACAGAGGCCACAAACTTTCAAATTATCATAGTGTAGAATCTCTTTCCTGACATTCTTCCATGATTTTCCAGGTATGTAAGCTCCAATTCAATTTTGTAAAACGCATAGTATTTATAGCTCAAAATCTTGTCAGTTCAGGTGCTTCTTTTGCTTATTAGTTTCTCCAATAAATGCTAATTTACATTATAATGCCACATGGCAATGGTGTTTAGTGTCTATGTACCCCAGTGCAAAATACCTTAATCTTAACAGGGACTTACATATGTTACTTGCATGCATTCAGCTAGAAGCTACAATGGTTATAGTGAAGGTGAAAAGTAAAAGTGTATTTTACTCAAGGTTAAGTTAGAAATGAGTTCGGCAATTTCCACTAGGCAGAAGCAATATTAAAGGAATAAAAATCCAAACCACTGACTGAGAGATGATACATAAAAAACTAATTAAGTTCAACTTACTTTTCTTTAAAGGGAGTGCTTTTCATGTTGAGTCTAATAAATCTTCATAAATAAGAATATGTTTTTCCTGAGTTTTATTAATTGCCTTTATTCATAGGCTTTATATTTGGATCTATGATACAGTTTAGTGATTTTTATGTAATAGCCGAAAAGCCAGGACAAAATATTTGTGACTGTCGGAAACAAAATTATTCA